CGGCCGAAGGCCGCCTACGCAGAAAGAAGTTCTGCGCAAAAATACTTACGGTCCCCTTTTCCGGCAACACAGAAAGGAGAATTCTACTTAGTAAGGGTTATAATCCCTAAGCGCGGCCGAAGGCCGCCTACACAGAAAGAAGTTCTGCGCAAAAGTACTTCCGGCCCCCTTTTCCGGCAACACAGAAAGGAGAATTCTACTTAGTAAGGGTTATAATCCCTATGCGCGGCCGAAGGCCGCCTACTCAGAAAGAAGTTCGTTTTCATGTATGCACTATTTCGGTTTTTGTCATATGCATTACTTCGGTTTTGAGTCGAAACTGTGCATGTATGCTTTACTTCGGTTTTTGTCATATGCATTATTTCGGTTTTGAACCGAAACTGTGCATGAATGCATTACTTCGCTTTTCTCATATGCGTTATTTCGGTTTTCAAACGAAACTGTGCATATATGCATTATTTCGGTTTTTTTCATATGCATTATTTCGGTTTTCAACCGAAACTGTGCATATATGCATTATTTCGGTTTTTTTCATATGCATTATTTCGGTTTTCACTGAGCGGATACTTTCCATTATTTTATTAATATTAAAACATACTTTGAATAAATATTAATTTACAATACTTGCCCCTTGACAGGGCCAGCCTACAACCATTGGTGTTTTATTCATAATTGGAATAAATTCGACTATCCTGTGCCAATTTTCTGAAGTGAGACAAAGAATACAAGTGTTGTGAAATCGAAATGGAAAAGTTCAGTGAAATGACGGTAGTGGAATTGCGTCAAAGATCGCGCGATGTAGGATTGTCTACCGCTGGTAATAAAGCAAAGCTGATCGAAGAGCTCTGTGAGCACCAGTTTAATGAAGGGTTCGAATGTGCGTTAAATGAAAGTATTGAACGTCGGTTACGGGTAATGGAAAGTCCATTGAGCAATTCGTTTCGTACACGGAAAGGCGAGTGTATGCCACCTCTTAGTGCTTCTTCGCCAACGCAAAATACATTAGCAGAAAATGTAACTCGACATGCAATAGAGGCAGCAACGACGGCAAGTTGTATTCCTCATGTTGCAATTTCATCATAAACGACGCAAAGCGACATGTTAACACAGGCGACGGTATGCGCCGCATCCAGAATATTCGATGCTGTACATATGTCAACCAATGGCGAAATTCGGGAGACACGACGCAATTATTCAAATTTTTCAGCGATGCCGACGGTTAGAGAAGGGGAAGATTTGGCGACGGTATGTCATCCTTCTCACTCTAACGCATCACTGACGTTACCCAGCATAGGGGAAATGCGAACAACGGAAGGAGTGCAAACAACGCGCGTTTTGCCTTCTTCATTTGCAGCTGCGCCACAGCCGATAATGTACGACGGAGAATTGGGAGCGAGAGCTGGATATGAATATAGCTACACAACGCATGCGCAGACAGCGATGCAAGTCTCAAAAGAGACGATGAATAAAGCGATGTTTTTCAATCAGCGAGGTATCTGCCATTTCCATATGAAAATCCAGTAGGAATTTCTATGCCACGATATAACGCGAATAGGAATGCGCAACACATTCCGCATGCTACGCGACGAGTACATTTTGCAAATATTTCGTCAACGAATATGCAGCAAGCAGAAGCAGAAAACTATATTCCTACAAGTGTTCATTTGACTGCATGTCAACAGAATACAAACGCACCGACAAGTGTATGTTGTAATAGGGGTGGGTATGTAACCGAACAACGAAGTATGCATGCTGAGTTCGGTAGCGTACAAAATGTGGTTGGTAGTACCAACGTTTGATCCGAGCGTGAAAGAATTGACATCTGTTCAATTCATAGGCAGAATCGAGCAACTACGCCAAGCATATGGTTGGGGAGACAAACTATTGTTGTTTGCTGTAAGCACAAAACTGCAAGGTTGCGCGAACCTCTGGTTGGACTCTGCGCCAGAAGTGTATACAAGTTGGACAAAGTTTGTGACTGATTTCTTATTTGAATTTCCATCAACAATAAACACGGCCGAGATTCACATGAAATTAATGAGTATGCGCCGCAATATGAGTGAAACGCCAGAAACTTTTTACTATCGTGCTCTAGCTGTGGGCAGACAGGGTGGGTTAGCTGATCAATCAATCATTAAATATGTGCTAAATGGAATTAACGATTTGGACATGAAACGTTCCCTGTCGGTAAAGACATATGCATGTGCTAATGAATTGTTGAGAGCAATCCAAAATTATTGTATGTTTAACTCGTACAAAAACAATGTGTCGGTAAAACACGATGTACCAAACGGAAAAGCTGTGCTGCAGCCGCTGAAAAATAAAGACATTAAAGACAATTCGAATATTGTGTGTTACAATTGCCGCAAAACGGGTCATATCTCGCGAAATTGTGCTGAGCCACAAAAACGAGCGAAGTGCGAAAAATGCAATAAATATGGACATGATGCGCAAAACTGCAAAGTTTCGGCAATTTCACAAAAATCAAAGTGCAACTCGATCGAAGAAAATAAAGAAAAATTATATATGAAAAACGTTGAAGTGAATAGCATTGTGGCAGAAGCGTTAATAGACTCAGGTAGTGCTCGCTCGCTAGTTAGAAGAAAGTTCGCTAATCAATTGCAAGAAAATCTGAAGGAAAAATGCTTTGTGCGTTTAAAAGGTTTCGCTGGTAGTGAATGTGAATGTTTCGAACAGATCAAAGCAAATATCGCGATCGACAATGTGTGTGTTGACGTGAAATTGCTTATTGTAGACGATGATAAACTTGAATATAATGTATTAATAGGCAGAGACGTACTCTGTTCAAACGGAAATCTATTTGTAATTGACGGTGAAGATTGTTGGATGCAATCTAAGATAAATATAATTGAGAGCGTATTTGATGAAAATCATAACGAAAAGTTAAGTAATGTGCTAAAAACGTATGATGGTCGATTTAATACTCTCGGTAAAACTAAAATCACCAAAATTAATATTAAGCTCGATAACTACAATCCGATAAAAATGAAACCCTACAGATGGCCCTTCGCGAAAAGACCAATCTTGGATTAAATAATTAAAGATTTATTGGCAAAGGATGTAATACGTGTGTCAGATTCCGCGTATGCTGCACCCGTTGTCCTAGTGGAAAAGAAAAACAAAGAGCATAGACTGTGTGTAGATTATATGTAGATTATAGGCAACTAAATCGCATTACGGTGAAGCAGCCATTTCCAATGCCAATAATGGAATAATTGTTTGCATTACTTGCTGGCAACAGGTACTATACTACTTTACCTTTTTACCCTTTTTACTATATGGGCTATCACCAAATTGAGTTGGAAAACGATGCTAAACAATATACTGCATTTGTTACAAATAATGGAATATAATCGTATGCCATTCGGGCTGGTTAACGCGCCGTCGGTATTTCAAAATATGATGAACACAATTGTGGACAAAATGAAACCTTATCGGGTTATTGCATACTTGGATGATGTGATTATTCCAAGCCGTACGGTTGACGACGGGTTAATAATATTAGAAACATTTCTGAAATTATTAGAAGAATGTGACTTAACATTGCATTATAGCAAATGTAGAGTTCTGGTGAATGAGCTTAACTTTCTTAGACATCGAATTACTGGTGACGGTATTATACCAGGTGAAACAAAGGTTAATGCAATTAGACAGTTTAAGAAACCGGTGTCTGTAACTGAAGTCAGACGTTTTCTGGGATTGACGGGATTTTTTCGAAAATTCGTAAAGAACTATGGCGCGTATTCATAGTCCAGCAACTAAGTCGAAACTAACAAAGTTTCAACTTAAATTTAAGTACCAACTTAAAATTTACCTCTATTCATAGTCGCATTTCAGACTTCTACTAAGTAGTTTCGACTTAGTTTACGATATAGCAAAACGAGTGTGAAAATGTATCGATTTTTCTTTACGATATTTTGGAAAAAATACACTTTTATTAAATAATGTCAAGTTTGATCATTCGTTTATGTAATTTTTATTTTCATTGCATGATTATGCAAAAGAATAAGGTATCATTTTCTTGTTAATTGTGTGAAATAGCCAAAACATCCGCAGTGATGTGAAGTCGATGTTTAACGAAAGCATGCTGTGAAACATACAAATAGTAGATATCTAAATGTTATGCACAAATTTACTTTAAAAGAACTATCGTGAAACTGACTTATTATTTGAGAATTTATATAAATTATTCCAATTATAAAATTGTGAAGTACCTTCATTCGAATTGTAATACGCATTTAATTTCATCTTCCGATTAAAAAGGATCGATCTTTGTAAATTTTAATGGGAGATTATTCAATATTATCAAAATCACCCTCTACCAACTTAATTTTTACATATTTCGTCTGTTTTCCCTTAATTTGATAAAATAGTTCTTCCTAGTTACGACTTAGTCGCAGCTGCAGCCGAAACTAAATTTTAAGTTGGTACTTAGCCAGAAAAGTTGAAACTAGGGCGACTATGAATAGCTTTAGTTGTGACTTAGAATAGTTTCGACTTAGTTGATATTAAATATGACTATGAATATGCGCCTATGTTATTATCGCGCGACCGTTAACAAACCTCACACGAAAAGAAGCAGCGACAAAATTTGATTGGGGGAAGAACAAGATAAAGCTTTTCATACCTTGATAACTGCACTGAGTAATGAACCAGTGCTCACTCTGTACGACTTTAATAGTAGCTACACACGACGAGCATATCCGCGCACATGTGCACCAACATGCTGGCTGTCGTTTGCTACAAACGGCGAGCGGCTCATAAGTGATTTTGTACTCAAAGCGTAAACATGGAAAGGAAAGACGCGGATGATGCAATTGAAATACTTATGACTTAGGGTTTTTTATGTATGTGTTACTTAAATTTATTTATATTTTACTTATATGTATGTACATACATATACATATAGTAATTTAGCCTCATTTATCAAAAATTCAATAAACGCACATGGCTTGGATGCATATATCAGCGATATGCACACTGCAAGCATCAACACAAAATGAGGTTGTTGTTTTTGTTTCCAATGCGATGCTCGCAAACCACGCTACAAACGACGAGCATGCTCGCTGAAAATCAAAATTTTTTGATTTGTGGCGAGCATGCGCGCAAACCGCCCTACAAACGACGAGCATGTGCGCATGTGCGCGGATATGCTCGTCGTGTGTAGCTACTGTAATGCAAAGCACGAAGTGCATACTGATGCTAGCGGTGTTGGTCTAGCTGCAGTGTTACTCCAATCAACTGACGAGGGAAAAACTTGGAAAGCGGTTATTTATTTTAGTCGACGGTGTACAGATACAGAGTCTCACTATCATGTTTAAGCCAACTAAAGCGTAGGACGCCACCCAAGAAAAACAAAACCACGCAGGAGGAGGTGACCACCAACCCTGCAACCAAACAGAGTAAGGTGGCGCCAAACGAAAATTCCGGCAAGATTAAGGAGAAGGAGGTGGAGAAAGAAGGAAAATGGGTAGAGGTCCAACGCAGGTCACATAGCAAAAAGAAGATGGCATACAAACCACCACCACGGCCAGATGCCATCATTATAGCTCGGACGGGAGATATGACCTACAGCGACATACTAAGGACCGTAAAAAAGGAAGAGGCGCTGCAGAAACTCGGCGAGAGCGTATCACGCATCAGAAAGATGGTCAAGGGTGAAATACTGCTGCAGCTTAAGGAGACGCAAATGAAGGACACGGGCGAACTCAAGAGCGAAATAGGTAGGCTTCTAGGGGACCAGGCACAGATCAGAGCCCTAACCCACGAGACGATGGTAGAAATCCGTGACCTGGACGAGATTACCACCAAGGAGAATATTGCCGAGGCCATCCGCAACCAGATAAAGGAGCTAAACCACCTTAACGAGAATGCGATAAAAAGCATCAGGGCGGCTTATGCGGGCACACAAACCGCGGTGGTAAATCTCCCAGCGCAGGAGGCAAGATTACTTCTTGACGCGCAGAAAATAAAGATAGGATGGGTTGTGTGCAGAGTAAGGGAGAAACCGAACCCCAAAAAATGCTTCAGGTGCCTGGAATATGGCCATATAGCGAGAGACTGCAAAAACGCGGAAGACAGAAGTCAATGCTGCCTAAAATGTGGAGAAAATGGACACTTTGCGAAAGCCTGCGACAAAAAGCCACACTGCAGAGCATGCAAAAACCAGGGAAGAAAGAACACCGAGCACCAGATAGGTAGTTGGAGGTGTCCGCTATACCAGGAGGCGTGCAAGAAATCAAGAAAATGAGAGTCATGCAGTTGAATCTCAACCACTGCGAAGCAGCGCAAGAGCTGCTCAGGCAAACGGTGTACGAGGAGAAGGTGGACATAGCAATAATCAGCGAGCAGTATAAAAATATAGACAGTGGAGCATGGATATCGGACCTCACAGGCAAAGCTGCAATATGGACATGCGGAGGAAAAGCTTTCCAAGAAAAGCCGCTGCTTGGTAAAAGCTACTACACACGAGCGAAGGTAGACGGTTTTAACTTTTATAGCTGCTACATACCACCAAGTATCCCACAAAATGAATACGAGAACATCCTAGACAGTTTGGTTCAAGAAGTCCGGACCACCACAATGAACGTTATAGCAGGGGACTTCAATGCATGGGCAGTGGAATGGGGTAGCGTCCACACAAACAGGCGGGGAGATGCACTACTAAAGGCGTTTTCGGTACTTGATGCGGTGCTTCTGAATTCGGGGAACAAAAATACCTTTGAGAAGAATGGTCGAGGCTCGGTGATTGACATTACTTTCGCTAGTAGTTCCTTGGTGCGCTCAACGAGCTGGAAGGTGTCGGACCTCTATACGAACAGTGACCATCTGGCAATCATGATGGAGCTAGGGAATTGTGCACAGAGCCGACAAAGGGCGATCACCAGGAAGGTGCAAACGAGGGGCTGGAAGGTAGAGACTCTGGATGAAGAGCTCTTCAGACTCGTGCTGGATGAGGAAATGGCCACTGAGGATAACACTGAGCTCCAGGCTGAAACACTGGTGAGGCACATCAGTAAAGCCTGCGACGGTGCTATGTGCAGGAGAAAACACGGCTCTCTCAGGCAGCCGGCGTACTGGTGGAACGAAAAAATCCAGGCCATAAGGGGTGAGTGTCATAAGGCGAGGCGGTTGTGTCAAAGGAACCGTGGGTCGATGGAACATGCCGTGCTGCGCGAAGCCTTCAAAAAGAAGCGAAGTGACCTTAAAAAAGCCATCAAAAGCAGCAAAACCAGCGGCTTTAAGGAGCTCTGCGAAAAGGTGGACGAAAACCCATGGGGTGATGCCTACAAGGTGGTCATGAAGAAAATAAAAGGTGGTAAAGGCCAGGCACCAACCTGTCCCACCCTCCTAAAAGACGTCGTGCAAACTCTCTTCCCTGTGCAAACGCCAGGAGGTCGGCGACCGCAAGCAGAGAAACCGGAGGGAATGGAAGCACCAACGGTTACAGACGAGGAGGTGGTCCAAGCAGCAGAAAGATTTGGTAATGACAAAGCGCCAGGCCTAGACGGAATACCAAACAAGGCTCTGAAGGTTGCCATCAAGCACAACACGGGTCCGTTTACCGAACTCTTTACGCGGTGTCTGCGAGAAGGCGTCTTCCCAAAAATCTGGAAGAAACAGCGGCTGGTCCTACTGCAGAAACCAAACAAGCCGGCAGGAGAACCAAGCGCATACCGACCTCTCTGTATGCTGGATACGCTTGGTAAGATACTGGAGCGATTAATTTGTGTACGGTTGGACCAGCACCTAGAGGAGGAACTGCCGGGTCTCGCCGATAACCAGTATGGATTTCGAAGACAGAGGTCTACCATTGATGCAATTAAAAAGCTCACCGATGTCGCAGGCAAGGCAATAGAAGGAACAAGATGGCTATATGGCACGAAGGAATACTGCGCGGTGGTGACATTCGACGTAAAAAACGCCTTCAATTCGGCATCCTGGCCTCACATACTAAGTGCTCTGGAAAGAAAGAACACGCCGCCCTACTTGCTAAGGATGGTATCCAACTACCTATCTGACAGACTTCTGCT